GGCCTGGGGCTGATGAGCTTTTGCCCCCCTCCTCGAATGGTATGGTTGTTGTGTGCTTTTAAATTGTGTATTGTTTTGTTTGTCTTTTTTATCCCTTATCTGTATCCCCTGACTTGGATTGTGAGCCGCCCTGAGTCCCCTTCGGGGAAAAGGGCGGCATATAAGTGCAATCAATTCAATTCAATTCAATTCAATGTACTTCTGAGTACAAGTCAAGATGCTGGTTAATTGCCATCTCTAAAGAGCCAGTATTGTCTAATCATTAAGGCACCAGGCTAGAAAGTGGGAGACTATAACTTCTAGCTTTTAATCGTGAAAGCCATCTAGGTGACTTTGGCAAGTCACGCTCTCTCCAACCTATTTCACAGGATGGTTGTTGTGGTGAAAATAGGAGGAGGAAATTACATTGGATATATTCACCACCTTGAGTTATTCGTAAAAAGAATAAAGGCAGGACACAAATAAATAAAAATATATAGAACCCCCCCTATGACATAAGGCTGGGTTATTTGTGAGACAGCCTTCCCTGTTATTTCTACTCATCCCACAGGGTCTGCCAGAAAGGTTCGTTCCAGGTCTCTTCAATCAAAGAATGTCATTTGATGGGATCACAGAAGCCTGTTTTTTCTGTCATCGTTCCTGCCTTCTGGAATAGCCTACGCATACTAAGTTTAGATTGATTCTAACTTTGCTGGTCTTTCATATAATACTGAAGACTTGGATGTTTTTCAGGGCCTGGAGATTGGAAGGTTAGATGCCCTGTTAAGAGGTGTCTATTTAAGGCAAGACTAGAATTCACAGTCTTCTGTTTTCTTGGCCAGCATCTTAATCACTGTGTACACCAACTGTCCTACAGGTTGTTTTGTAGGATTCATTTTCAGTGACCAATGCCCATTTTTTTCTACTTCGCTAATATTGTGTTTCATTGTTAACATATTCTTAGCTGAGTCACATATATGAGATGGGCAATTATATTCATAAATTAAATAAATTCCAGGGTGCTGTGGAGTCCATCGCAATGAAGAATCCCAAGGAACGCACGGCCCTCTTTGAAGAAATCAGTCGCTCGGGTGAGCTGGCTCAGGAGTACGACAAGCGCAAGAAGGAGATGGTCAAGGCAGAGGAAGACACCCAATTCAATTACCATCGCAAGAAGAATATTGCTGCGGAGCGTAAGGAGGCCAAGCAGGAGAAAGAGGAGGTGACGTCATAAGCTGCCTTTGTTACTAGAGTTAAATCCCATATTTTATCTAGGAATTCACAGAGGTGCACATGGAGGCTCCTTCCTCATTTTAGCTGCCGTTACAGCAGCTTTGTGGACTAAAACCAAATCACTAGCTCACATTACCTAATGAGCTCTGTGTCAGCGTTCCAAGTATCATGTAGAATTAAATCAGAGTCCAAGGCAAAACGATCCTTAAAGTTCCAATTTAATAAAACAGACATCTTAACACATCTGTGTTAATTCCTAGATAAAATATGG